TTAACGGGGGGGGGGGGGGGGGAGAAATTCCCTGGAGGCTTCAGAGCCGATTGTTCCCCTCCTCAAAGCACTTGACAACATCCGGCCCCTCAATCCCTGCGGGAGGAAACACAGTCACTGCAGGGAGCGGCTCGTGCCTCCCAGGAGCCCAGAGGTGCCGGGAGCTGCACAGACACCCAGGCCGCGGCAGTCTGACTCCTGCTCCCGGATCCCTGGGACAAGTCAGTCAGATCCCTGGCAGGAGGAACTTGTGCCTCTCATAGGGAGGGGTATGCAAATGACGGAGCTGGTGTCCTGGTTAAATCGGTCCCTGTTTCTGCCCTGGCTGCACCCGCAGGGACAATCCGCAGCCCCCTGGGTCTGGGCAGTGACCAGCCAGTCCCCTGAGAACTTCCCCCGCCAGCGCCAGGGACAATGGGATTTTGGCTCGGTTTGATTTTCATTGTAGCTGCATTGGAAGGTATCGCTCATTGTAGCTGCAGAGAAGGGAGGATTTAGCCGCTGCGGCTACTCTATTTTCTATACGTGTCCTTATTCCCAGGTGCCCGGTCCCAGCCGCAGCTGATGGAGTCCGGAGGGGATGTGAAGAAGCCCGGAGACTCTCTGCGCCTCTCCTGCAAAGCCTCCGGCTTCACCTTCAGCAGCTACAACATGAGCTGGATCCGCCATGCTCCTGAGAAGGGGCTGGAGTGGGTCGGGCGAATTTACACCGATGGGAGCCAACAGTTTTACGCAGGCTCAGTGAAAGGCCGATTCTCCATCTCCAGGGACAACCGCAACAACCAGCTGTCCCTGCAAATGACCGGCCTGAAGCCCGAGGACACCGCCCGCTATTACTGTGCGGGAACCACACACCCACACACACTGATACGAAAGCGGCTTGTGGCCCTACAAAAACCCAGGCTGCGGAATCGCTATGGTCTCGGTAGCCACGAGGGGGCAGCGGAAACACGTCTGTGCTCTGCACGGGCCTGTGACTGTTCGTGCGGCGGTACTGGAGGGAGAGGGAGAACTAGAGATTTGGTCGGCTGAAAATTCTCTCTCTGCTCCGCTTTGCTTCCCCTCTCCACCCCCGCCCCCGTCCGCTCCCAGGCGCAGCTATTCCAGTCCGGCCGGGGGGCGGGGAAAGCGCCACACAGGCAGCAGTTTCAACTGGGCTTGGGTCAGGAGGCCTTGGGAATAGCGCAGATGGGTGGGAGACATTCACCCGCACAACCAGGACACAGCCTATGCCCAGTACCGCCGGGGCCAAATCACCATCTCTGAGTCTTTCCGAAAACCAGGTCTCCCTGCAGCCCCGCTTTCGCCGGCTCTCACTGCGCCGGGCACAGCGCAGGACACAGAGCACAGAAGAAAGCCACGGAACGCGAAGATATTAAACAACCCAGCACAGCGGTGACAGTTACTGGGGCAATGAAACCACCCAGAGACACACGCTGAATCGATTGGGGGGACGGACCTTAAATACAAACAGTTTTTTTCCATTAATCCAGATTTTTTCCTGCATTGGGCAGGGGCTGGACTCCATGAGTCCTGAGGTCTCTTCCAACCCTCGGATTCTATGAATCCCTGCCTCTCCCTGGGCAGTTTGCCTCTGACTTGCCACAGGAGCTGGCCAATCTTCCTGAGAAAGGAAAGGTGTTTGGTTCCATTCATTGACTCACCTGAGAGCGGGGGACAGCGCCCAGTATCGCTGCGAGAGAGACACAGCGAGGGGAAGCGAATCTGAGCTCGGACAGAAACCTCCCCCTGCAGAGCCCAGGGCGGGATTTCCTGGGAGCGGAGCTCACACGCCCCGCACAATGAGAACACGGGCAGTGTTCAGCGGGGGTAGGAGCGGTGGGATGTTGAATAGAACAGGCGTGGCGGTGGGAATGGGAATGTGGCGGCAGGAGATGGTTCTAGGGCCTGGGAATGGAAGTGTTTTATTCTTTGTTATTTTGTAGAACTAGAGCTGTTGGAATCCCTCCATGTTATACCGCGGGGACGGGTTCTGCAAACGGCAGCTTCCCTACGGCACAAGGACTTTGAACGCGAGAAGGAGGAAGCTTCTGTCTGCACGTTGCGTCTCACTAATCTTGGACTAAAGACATGAACTTGCCGTTGACGTTCACACGACCCTCGCTGCTTCTCCTACCTGCACCCACCGGCGGGCCCCGCGCTGCTCCCAGCGCTGGCTCTGAGCGGTGGGAGTGGCCATCAGGGGGCACAAAGGAGTCAAGAATTCGGAAAGAAGCACCGTGGGAGGCGTGGGAGGAAGAAAATGGGAGGAGCGCAGAGGTGAACCCGACACCAGACGGCAGCCCAGTGAGGCGTGGAGTGAGTGAGGGAAACGAGCGGTCAGAAACTCTGAATAATGCCCAGTAGATTTCAGCAGCAATTAGAAAACCACGGGAAAGGCAGCGATGCTGTAACGTTCCCACAGGGGGCAGCAGCGAGCAAGGACGAGCTCCGGCAGCTCTGCTCTGAAGTGCCCTATAGGCGGCAGCACGCGCTGCGTACGTGTAAAGGGGCCCGTGCGAGGCATTGGAACAGCCTGGGACAAGAATCTCCCAACATGTAACCTGATGTTTAATTAGGAACCGAACTATTTTCCCCATCGGGGAAAGCAAACGAGGCAATTATACAAGGTACAGGGAGTGCAAGTCCCATTATGCAAGTCCCGCTGGGCGTTGTTAGCGTCAAATCTTTGGAGGCAAAACCGGTCAGTCGGGGAAAGGCTGGCGTAGGGCAGTCATGAAAAGCATGAAGACATCAGAGGATACTAATATCAGGAAGCGTTGATGGGAGTCCCAGTGGGACCAGGATACGATCGCTCTACTGGGGCAAATGGCAAAGAACGGGGCACAGAAACCCCCACACTATTAGTCTAATATTTAGATTCTCCAAACCAGGAAGCAAACAGCCCAGAAGCCTGAAATACAATGCAGCCTAAAGCTCCCACCCAGACAGCCAAGTCAAATACAATGAGGATTAATTAGAATCGTGTTCATCGCATAAAAAGTTCGACAAGTCCTTAAAGACATCACCCACCAGGTCAATGATTATTTCAGGTCTTAGCCAAATACAGATGCAAAGCGAATTCTGTAACAAAGATTTATCTGAAAAAAGACATAGAGTAGGGGTTAAAATATCATGAGAGACACATAACGGCCACACTGGGCCAGAACACAGATCCATCTAGTTCAGTATCCTGGCTGCCAACAGCGGCCAATGACAGGTGCACCAGAGGGAATGAACTGAACAGGTAACCATCAAATGATCCCTCCCTTGTCACCCATTTCCAACATCTGACAATTAGAGACCAGGGACACCATCCCTGCTCATTCTAGTTAAGTCATTGATGGACTTAACCCCCTTGAATTTCTCTGCTCTTTTTTGAACCCTTTTAAAGTCCTGAGCTTCACAACTTCCTCTGACAAGGAGTTCCACAGGTTACTGTACATTGTGTGTGTGTGTGTATGCGGTGGTGGAGGGGGTGGTGTGACATTAGTGGGGGTACCTTGCTGGTTGCTATGATGCACAGTGGGCTGTGGGTGACCTCCACAGGCTGCTGTCTGTAGCAGGGCCAAGCAGGGCATGGATGAGTCATTATGCAAAGGGAGCTTTGAACCTTTCTGACCAGTTACTTCCCAGGGAGCGGAACAAAGAAAGGAGGGCGAGGTCAGCCCTGGCTGGTGGGCAGAGCTGGAGGAGAGTGGAGGAGTTTTGGTTGTCTGGTTGTGACGGCGCGTTGGGGTCCCCCGTCTCCTGCACCCCGAAATGGCACAAACAGACTGCACCAGCAGGTGGAATAGAGGAAGTTTATTGCCTCTCCAGGATACAGCACAGCACAGATGGAATCTGGTCACAGAGCTGGGCTAGGATGCCTCAGGCCCCCTTGAGATGGGGGAGACTGGGCCCCTAAACTCCAGCCCCTTTCCCTAGGCTGTCTCCTCCATGCTCGCCCCCAACCTCCAGCCCCTTCCTCTAGGCTCTCCTCCATGCTCCCAGACAGTAACTAACTAAATTCCCTTCCAGCCCTGCCCCCCAGTCAGGGCAGCATTCCACCTTCCTTTGTTCCTCTCCATGGGGGGTGTCTGGCCACTGGTTCAACAAGTTTGGCATTACCTCTGCCTAGTGAGGTTTTCCCTGCTGGGTCTTGCTCCAGACAGCAGGGGTCACCACAGCCCAGCAAGTACCCCCACTACGTCACAGTTCTCCCCCCTCCGAGAGAGAACTGAGCAGGGTCACTCCGCTAGTGACCTAGGGAAGTTCGGGTCCTCTGCGTGGGAACCCGCCCTGGGGACATGGGTGCTCCCCTTGACTCGGGCCGGCCGTGGC